CTCTTTTCTTACTTTGTTGATCTGGACCCAAGTGCATTAGCCTGTAAACAAAAGAACCTTGTTTTTTTGTTGAACAAAAGTATTTCCACAATGATAATAACTAACTTTCCCACCATGAAGAAAAGCAGCCCATGCAGCCCAGGCCATTTGCAAAGAAATGGCAGCTCCTGGTAATAGCAGTCCTGTGGGCCATCTCCCAGCATCATGGTAAGGAGGTTGTTTCCACTGTAGCCTTGGCCAGCCTCCTCCACAGAGGGTTGGGAGTAGACAGTGTTGCACAGGAGAGTCTGGTAGCTTTCATTTCCACAGCACAGTTTGTTCCAGTATTTGCAGTGGTATTTCAGTGAGTTACCTGTCCCATTGCATATTCTGATCAAATGACATCCAAGAGCATCAGTAGCTCTTCACCCTGACTGTACATAAGCAAAAGGTGTGGCCTGGTACAAACTCTGGACAGTTAGTCAGTTGGGAGAACTCTGTGGCATGTTTTGTGGTGGAGGGCCCAGGATTGATTGGCCATTTTTCTGGCTCTACCCTTTTTCTTATTTTCTCATCCACAATTTCAAATTCTGTGCTACCCTTCAGTGCCTCTAAGATGAGATTAAGGTTTGTGGTGAGCACCAAAACACAGTGAAAACCAGCAATCAGAGAAACAGGCAAGAAACCTTGTGCATCCATCTTTCCCTGAAGAAAGAAGTCTCATTTCAAGTCTTCTATACCAGCTGGGGGTGGTGGTGCATGCCTGTGATCCCAGCACTTGGGAGGCTGAGGCAGAAGAATTGTTGCAAATTTGAGGCCAATCTGGGCTACAAAGGGAGCTCAAGGCTAGCATAAACTGTATAGTGAGACCCTGTCTCAAAAAGAGAAAACGGGGCTGGGGAGATGGCTCAGTGGAATAAGCGTTTCCCTGGCAAGCGTAAGGGCCTGAGTTCCATCCCCAGTCCTGCAAAAACAAAAAACAAAAAAACCATCAAAAAGAGAAAACAATTTTTTTTTCCTATGTTAGAGTAATATTTAATTTGACACATAATATATTCTTTAAGTTTTTTTTGTTTTCACTGTAGGACTGATTAATCAGTATAAAATTGAAAGAGCTTTGGATCTATAATAAAAACACGAGTTCAGGAAAGGGCAAACTACAACAGCAGCCAAGTAGGAAGGGAGGGTGCACAGAGGGTGGGTGGACAGGCAGCTGGGACTGGGTACTCATAACTGACCACTGTCAAACCAGAGTAAGCTTCTTGGTTTCTTATGGCAAACATTTTCTACATCTCAGTCTTACTGTGTTCTTTAAACATTGCTTCCTCCACGTGATACACCTGGATGCCCATCCCATCCTCATAGTAATACAGCATGCTGATAGTAGCTTCATTTGAAATGTCGATCAGTCCTTTCACTGTATTTTCTGTAACCAGATGTATACTCAAAGTTCACTTGGAGTGATTAAAAAAAAAAAGATGATCACAGATGACCAAATATAACTTAGTGTTAACCTTTATAAGCTTCCTAGAAGGTGAGTGTGTGGGCATACTTTTAATTTTTAAACATTATATCAAAGTATTCAAAATTCTTGAATGAATATTAACTGTTCAGTGTAAAGTTCTCTAATGTTTTAGTTCCTTAAATTTTAATTTTATTCCTTAAAGGGAAATTAGTCGAGCTGCAGGAAAGGCTGTGCCTGGAATCATTGATGAGGACAGCAGTGGAAACAATGCCCAGTAAGTATGTTCCTAGTCCCCCTCAGGAGGACGGGTTTATCTTTTTAGCTCTCTTCTCTTTCAGCCAGCCATGGTAGCACACTCCTGTAATCCCAGCACTCTGGAAGCTGAGACAAGAGGAGTGTGCGTTCAAGTCCAGCCTCACAACTTAGTGACTTGAGACAGGGATATAAGCTCACTGCACTGGGTTCAATCCACAGTATAGCAAACAGGCAGACAAAAAAACAGTCCACAGTATAGCAGACAGACAGATACACACACACACACACACACACACACACACACACACACTTTTTCAAAATGAAAAAGGTTTCTGATTATAACTCTTAACCTTCCTGGAGGTAGTAACTTGAGCAGTTCAAAAAGATTTTAAAAAGTAGAAGTTCTGAATTATACCCACATTCTCCCTAAATATAGTCTTTTTTTTTTAATGTTTTCTCTGACACATGAAATCTTAAACAAAAGAGAGACAACATGGACGTAGAAATGTAGAGAACGGGAAAGGAATGAGGGTGAGAGTGGAAAGGAGGAGACATTCCTTCAGTACTTTCTAGGCATGTATGAGCGCATCAATTGAAACCTAATGTTCTGTACAGCTAACACATACTAACAGAAAAAGAAGGGCTGGCCAGATAGCTCAGTGGACTAAAGTGCCGCTTAGGCAGGCGCAGGGATCGGGGTTCAATCCCCAGTGTGCTGTGCCATCCCTCTCCCCAGGCGTGCTGAGATGCAACTGAGACTAGGTGTGGTGGCATGTGCCCAAGCGCTTGGGAGGCTGAGAACAGGATCACGACGAGTCCAGTCTATGTAGTGAAACTCCGTAGACCCTGTACTAAATACATTTAAAAAAAAAAAAAAGAAAGAAAAAAGAAAGAAAAGAGGGCTGGAGAGATGTTCAGTGGTATAAATGCCTGCCTGGCAAGTGTAAGGTCCCGAGCTCGATCCCTGGTACCACAAAAAAAAAAAAAAAAGAAGAAACGAAACTTGAGTTTCAGACCTTCTTGCCAGGCATTCTTTTCTCAGCACAGAACTTAGCATACCCCTCATTTTAAGAGTCCAGAATTTGGATTTCCAGTTTATTTTACATATGTAAAGACATAGTTAGCTGGGCGTGGTAGTGCCCATCTGTACTGTTAACATTTGGGAGGCTAAGGCAGGAGGATCACAATTTGAGGTCAACTTAGATTACATAGTGAGTTCCAAGTCCAAGCTAGACTACCCAGTGGGACTCCATGTCAAAGCAAAACAAGCATAATCCTTTTAAACAGCTGCATTAAGTTGAGTATATCCTAATTTATCTACCAATCCCCCATTTTTGGACACTTAGGTCCTTTATGATATTTCACTTTAATAATACTAACTTTGAGTTGGGCATGGTGGCCCTCAGAAGTCTGAGGCTGGAAGATTACCTCAAGTTTGAGGCCAGCCTGCTACACAGTACTCTTGTCTCAAAACACAAAACACAAAAAGACCAAAAAAAAAAAAAAAAAAAAAGAAAGAAAAAGAAAAAGTAAAAAACAGGTGTGGTAGCTCACACCTGTAGTCCCAGCACTCGGGAGGCTGAAGCAGAAGGATCTTGCAAGTTAAAGACTAGCCTGGGCTACAAAGTGAGCTCAAGGCCAGCCTGAGCTGCATAGTAAGACCCTGTCTCAAAGAGACACACACCAAAAAGCACAAGTGAACATCGTTTTACAGTTTTGTGTGCTTGTGCTAATATTTTATTAAGACCGAATCTTAAGATTGGAATTTCTGGGGGCTGGTGAGATGGCTTAGTGGTCTAAAGCACCTACTTGGAACAAGCTTGGGAAAGCACAGGGACAGTGGTTCCATCCCCCAGCACCACATGCCAGCCAGCCCTGCCCCCTGGTGGGCTGAGCTGGACACACACAATAAATAAATAAATAAATAAATAAATAAATAAATAAATAAATAAATGTTTAAAAGATTGGAATTTCTGGGTCAAAGGTCTTGGGGCTGACTCACTGTGTGGTGCTACATCGCCAGACCCCCTGCTGGCAGCTCAAAGCATGCACGCTCCCGTGAATGTGCTTCCTTTCCTGTCTTAGGCCAGCACAGAGTACTAATGGATATCATATGTAGTTCTTTAAAATTTTTCCCCCAATACTAGAGATTAAACCTGAGGCCTTCTGCATGCCTGACAAGAGCTATAGTGTGGAGCTACACCCCCCACCTGTTACCTCCTTCTTTTAATTTGCATTTCTTGATTTTTAATGCCTAGGGGCAGGTCTTCTGTTCATGAAGATTAGAACATATTTGCCTGTTTTTGATTTTGGTGCATTTATGATTTCATTTTGAAATACATTTCTAGGGGCCATGGAGATGGCTCAGTAGAATAAGTGCTTGCCTGGCAAGCACAAGGGCCTAAGTTCAATCCCTGGTTCTGCCAAAAAAAAAAAAAAAAAA